GATGGTAGTGATGATCGTTATCAACAGTGATGATGGAAATGATGAATGGAGTATGATATTTGCGACATTTGTGGCGATGAAAAAGTTGATGATGATGATGATGATGATGATGATGGTGTTGTCGTGCAATCGTCTTCTCGCAGAACAGATGGTTAATGTTGAGGTCATACCTAATTGTTTGCTGTCCATTTGTTATGTATGCATGCATCGCTAATGTTTGTATGTGTTTATAAGTTTGTTTGTATGCTTGTTTATATGCTTGTTTATATGTTTGTATGTGTTTGTTTATATGGATGCATGTATGTGTATATGGGTGCATGTATGTATGTATGTTTGTGTGTATGTGTGCTCGTACCGATGTATGTGTGTTTATCTGGATGTAAATGTAAGTCTAAGTACGTATTAGTGTACGTGTACGTATCTAAGTGTATGTGTTGTACATAAATGAATGTTGTTAGATTGCTAGAATAAGTGCAAAAACAACCAGGATGAATGAATGTGTACCTTGGTGTATGTGTGCGTTTATGTATAGAAAAATGCATGGGTGTGAGTAGATGTGTGCGTGTGTTTGTTTGTGTACGTGTGTTTGTATGTATGTGTGCGTGTGTTTGTGTGTGTACGTGTGTTTGTGTGCGTGCGTGTGTTTGTGTGCGTGCGTGTGTTTGTGTGCGTGCGTTGGTGTGTGTGTTATAAAAATTCTCGACAAAGCGTGCATATGTGCAGGCTTGCAATGGAAGATCCCCAATTACACGAATAAAACAAAAAAGGTAATTAATGATGATGTGATCCATGGGTGATAATGAAGAATGTGATGATTGCGGTGATGATGATGGATGATGAGGGTGAGAATGATGATGATGACGGTGATGATGATGATGATGACGGTGATGATGATGATGATGACGGTGATGATGATGATGATGACGGTGATGATGATGATGATGACGGTGATGATGATGATGATGACGGTGATTACGGTGGTGGCTTTGTTAATTTAATTTCACACACGCACACATTGCGTTAATCAAATCGTCAGAAAAATTTTAATTAAAAATCATGATAATAATAAAAATAATAAATAAATAATAATAATTATCATCATCATCATCATCATCATCTTCATAGTCGTGGGGAGCTTTACTCAGCTTATTGATTATAAATAATCATAAAAACGACACTGACGTAGATATGTGCCGATAAGAGCTTCGTAAATGCTTGCTTGCCGCCATACAACGGCCATGATGTGTTTTTGTTTCTCTTCATTCATTCGTTCATTCATTCGTTCGTTCGTTCATTCATTCATTCATTTATTCATTTATTTATTCATTCATTCATTCATTCATTCATTCATTCATTCATTCATTCATTCATTTATTCATTCATTCATTCATTAACTCTAATTAGTCATCAGTTTACTAGTTATTTTATATTTTATTCCTTCCTTCCACTTTCTTGTTTTTGTCTTTTTTATTGTTTTTAATGATTTCTTCGCATGCATGCATTTGTTCTTCATTTTGTGTCATCATTCATTTTTATCTTTTCGCTCCTTTGTTCGTTCGTTCGTTTATTGGTTTGTTCTTTCGTTTGTTTGTTCTTCTACATAAAGCACATAAAATTATTGACTAGCTTTTAAAAAATTGAATAAACAGTTAAATAAAACAAAACACAACAAATTGAAAACTACATAACAAATAAACAAGCGATCAAAATAATTAAAATAATTTTGAAATTATCTCTTCAGACAGTTCCTACCTGTATGAGATTTTATATAATAAAAAAAAGTAATCTACGTATTTCTCAAATTATTCATAGAGAAGAGAATTTTTTTCTAACAAAAGTCACAGTGAGAAAATTGAAAAAAAAACTATTAGCGATAATTAAAAAAGTACAATAGGAGCGTGTCAGATTTGGTTACGTTACTTATGTATTGGCCAAAAATTCAACAAAACATAACCATCCCACTGATTCGTTTACAATGGCTTTTGAAAAAGCTTCAACACTACAACAACAACAACAACATCATCAACAACATCAACAACAACAGCAACAACAATAACATCAACAACAACATCCTCATCAACATTAACAACAGCAACAACGACAACAACCACTACAATAACAACAACAGCACCAATAAAGCCGACTTTTTTTATGTCTCGTCATAAATTAATTTCACGTGGCAACTAACAATCATTTTTCTTTAAAGATCTAACGCAGTAATAAAGATGGGTAAAAACTGCTACATAAATAAATATAGATGTTTATGTTTACGTGTGTGTGTGTGTGTGTTTATATGTATGTGTGTGTGCGTGTGTGGGCGTTTAAGTATGTCAGGTATCCAAATTAGGTCTATAATATAACTGGTTTTATAAAAAATAATTTTTAGATATATTCAGATTCAAGTTTTGAGGTTGAAATTCAATTTGAAAATTTTGAGATGTAGGAAGAAATTGTTTGAAGGATGATGACCTCAGACGTAGATGACTAAGTTGGTTTTTAGTAATTTGTATTGTGTGTGAGAATGTGTGTGTGTGTGATAATGTGTGTGTGTGTGTGTGTGTGTGTGTCTGTGTGTGTCGAGAATGTGTATGTGTGTGCGTGCGTGTGTGTGTGAGTGAGAGAAAGAAAAAGAAGGAGAGAGTTTGTGTGTGCACAAAGATGCATGTGAGTTGTTTGTATTATATACTGAAGTTACTTTGTGTTTTTGTTTTAAGGTTCATATCTTTCTGTTAAACCAACCCAGCAGCGTTAGCAAAAATATGCACAAAATTTACTTGAACAACATCAAACAACGTAAACATCGGCAGGCAAGCTAGCTGTACGTTAGTAGAGCTCTGAA